ATTTCGTTTAGATCCGAATTTTTTGCGCATCCTCGTTCTGGAGATCTTGAGCTAGGAATTTTACTAAAATTTTTGCAAAATAGAAAAGGGCCTACCCAAAAACCAAAAATAAATTAAACAGGAGTAGCAAATTTTGAGCCTTTTGGAGGTGTAGCGCCCATATGAAATATTTAAGACCTACATTTTATTTCATGGAGATCTCGGAAACCGGTCAAATTGGAGAAAAGTTGCGCAATTAAAAGAGTACCGTGCTGTAGAGAAAACAATAAGATTCCGAATACTCCCGAAGATACACCAGAAAAACCGAAGTTTGCCGATTTTGTTTTGGATATTTGAACAAATACAAAAAAAACACTTTCTCATTGCCACTACTTGAGGTTTACAAGACAAGGTTGAGAGATGTTCAGTATAGCGTTTCGATTCGGAGAAATCTTCACCAACTGGTTTCAGCAGGATGGGGTGCATCATCCTGTTGAAACCAACTTTTGTTTTTTGTGTGTGTTCTACATTATCGTATTCGTAAATAATACTCAATACAGTAGGGACCTTTTTTAGGGCCGTATAAAAAATTGTTAAAAGTTGACGACGATTTCTCTGAAATGAAACGATGTTTTTTCAAAAATTTGTGGGATAGATATGCTCGTACGATTAGGACATTATGCGTGGATGCACGCACCATCCTGTTGAAACCAACAGTTTCCAATTTTTTTTATGTCCCGTACATATACAACATTCAGGCCTACCATCGCACCATTGGGAAACGTATTTTCAATCAAAAGAATCAGCCGTCCCATTACAAGACCGGAGGTTTCACAAAGCCTGTCATTTCAATCCACAGCACCCATTTCGAGGACGAGTCAGTGCTCCAATTGAGCGACATCCATTGGGGAGCATCGTTTATCTTTAGGGTGCCTGGATGTTAGATTCAGGTTCGACAACTCATTGGCAATCAAATAACTAAAGAACCGTTAAAGATTTTGAGTAGGTAGGTACGCCCTCGAAGTTTCAAATCGACACCCAAGGGGGTGTACACCAGACACACACGAAACAGTAAACTTTTTGTAAACATTCAATATGCCAATCCATGTGCACAAAGGGCTTATCCAATAGCCTTGAAAGTACCAAATCAGGTCGTCGAAGATGGAAACATCACTAATCAACAAATACAACTAATTTATCAGTAATTGCCGCTTACGTACAATCAATAGGGATTTGTGCAGCGAATTAACTCAAATGTCGAAAAGCTAATACGCTCGTACAAAGGGAAGGGGATTAAAGTGACGTGTGGGTAGAGGTAAAATGAAAAGGGCAGATGATTGAGCTTGACCGTTTGCTTGTCAGTCACCCTAAAATTCACCCTAAACTCGTAACCCAAGGGCCAGACGTAATGTCAATTGCTAATTTAGGATTATAATTGTACTCATATATTCCCAACGCCGACAATTGACAGTTTAAATTGGTACAAACGCAGAACGAGGAACAACAACATTATTATTTTTTATTAAAAAGCGATAGTTAATAATGGGGTTAATTAAATTATCGATTCCTGTTTGCTATCTGCCTTTAAAACGTACTCGAACAATGATCGCGTCGGATTTAAATTATGACATCGCGCTGGGCGGGGTTGATTAGAATTTATTACGGGAGAGAGAGATATGGGGAATAATTTATGCGCGCGGGAGGGTTAATTTTACCGAAATCAAAATCACGGTTTATCTTTAACGTTTGCCCGTATCATCAAATTCGTTTTTGGCCACAGTTTCGAAAAGGCGCACGATTTTCTCGTGCAAGTGGCCGTTGGAGAATTGGAGGAACTCCCCGTCGTCATTTGTTTCCATTCGGAAAATCTGGATTGAAAATAAAATTTTGTCGGGGATTCGAGCGAGAAAAGTTCGCAACGTGTAATTACTCGCAGTAAGTAAATTAACCCTAATTCGCTACGGGCTGCGTACAGCTCGACGCAAGGTGAGTGTTAATTATATGGCGCATACGAGTGGAAAATACGCGCCGGCGAGTGCATTATTAAATCATTTCGAAAAAGCTGTCGGGGAGTAAGAAAACTCGCGAACTTTAAACGCGAAATGACGCGGCTTGCATTTTAATCCTACACTTCAAATCACGACGGGAAGTTGCTACGTGTGTATGAAACTCGAGAGAGAGTTGTCTGACAGGTCGTTATGGTAACGAGAGTCCCTAGGGTGTCTCTAGGTATCCCAAATACTGTACAGTTGCGTCGACACACGGTCTATTCAGAAACACCCCCTCAACGTACAATTACAATAAATATAAACCTGCGGAAAACTTCTCTGTATTTTAGTTGAAACATCCTACGGGTGTTGCTGATTTAAAATGCAAATCTCAAAGGGGAGAAGGTGTAATTTGTTAGGTTGTAGGGTGAGGGGGTAGCGAAGCGATTACCTGTATTGAATTCTCGCACTTTATAAAAATGTGCGGAAAAAGAAATGAATTGTAATTTCCCCAAGTGCTATTTTTTGTAGGTATTTGAATTCGCGCAAAATGTATACGTGATCGAATACGAACAATAATTTATTTTCATCTGAAGATGTATTATTAGATAGAGTAAAATTAATGTGCTTCAACAAAACTGCAACTGTAATAAGTGTTTTTAATTGACATCTGTTGAAATGTCCAAAAAAAAAAATTTTCACATCTAATTTACATTATTGGAATTAATTTAGGGGTTCCTTTTTGAAAGTTAATGTAGGTAATTATTTTTTGGACGAATAAAAAAAATGCACTAAAAAACAACGTCCACCACCCAACAAGCCACGATTAATGTCCGTCTCTTCTATTTAAAACAATTTCCCTTTCTTTTCAACGGTTGCGCCTCTCCTCTATTTGAATTTGCCTCTTCGAGACACCTGTGTTGCTTCCGCGAAACCTGCTTATCTTCCAAATTAATTATCTCACGGAGCGATAACGAAGCCTTATCGTAATGACCGGACTACCGGAGATAAACTTTTACAACACAATGCAATTATTTCAAAATGATTAAAATTAATATTTTCACACTTAATTTAGTTTTACAATAAAATAAAGAACTTAAGCAAAGCGATTATTTCAAAAAAATTATACATAAATAAATAAATAATTGTAAATAAAATTAATGAACGTCTTCAATTCGTTTTCATTACCAATGAACAACCACATTTAAC